CCACGAGTCAGTGCACACATATGGAGGAAGGAAACATCTCATTGTCCTCTTCTCTACGCGTGATGTGAGCTAAATGAAACATTGTGAACTGCAAGGAACAATCTTATCAACAGAGAAATGATCACTAGTGGCATGAATGACATGTTAAAAGTTCTATTTGAATTATCAATAGTTTCTCTAAAAGAGTATGGTTAAACAGTCAGATCCACATCATCACTACTAGGTAATTCGATGGAGTATCCACCGCTGTACATATGACTTTTCTCATAAACTTCACGTGGCCCGTCTCATGAGAAAGCCCATTGGAATGCCGATGAAGAAGGCCCTTTTGAATTTGAACACTCTGAAAACATCGTCACGACGTCAGAAGCGAGGTCGATAGTATCGTTTTTTTGATAAAAACCCCCTACCAGTATCGGTCGATTGTCTCCACAACGAAAAGAAGTTAAGAGCCGCCAACTTATGCAGAAGTGATACCTGGCAGTGCATGGGAAAGAAAAATTCGGAATGCATAGATGAGGAGAACTAGGTTTTCCAAAAATCGAAAATGAGACAAATAGCCATTTTTCTGCGACGGTTTTCTACATGCAGACAAAAGCGAAACTCAATCGAAAATATTGCGTTTGAAAGTGTCTGAGGGCGACTACAGGTCGACGATTTTCAATGAAATTCTTTTACCTAAAATCGTTTTGTTCTGCGACACTTCAGCCAGAATTGATCGAACGCACTTCAAGCCTTCAGCGTATACTCTATTTTAGCTGCTGAATCTGATTCTGAAGATAATATTGACAATAGGAGATTCTCTCTGTTCCGGAAGTTTATATAACGTTCAAAACCGAAGTACTTTCGGCTAATTTTCGAAACTTATTTTGAGCTGCATGGTAAAGTGTAATTAAAATAAAATATACAGTGAAGTATTTGGGATTGCTTTTTGGCTAAATTTTAAATTTTTCGATTTCTTGTTAAGAAAATCCAAAATAGATTACTTCATCTAATATAGTTTGTTAAAGATTTTTAATTTTTTCCTCTGAAAAACAAACATATGAAACGTGTTATATATATTATAAGCAGTATTTGAATGATGTATCTGATAAAAGCCGTTTCAGAAGGATTACAATATCAATATATGACCGGTGAAACATAACTGACATTTAATAAACCATGTAATGCGTTTTGAATGTATGCCAAAAAAAGTAACTTTTAACATCCAAATAATTGTTAAAAAACTGTCAGGTAACAGTCAGTTTACTGTCTGTTACATGATTGTTGATAAAGACTCGAGAAAAGACATTTAACATACCACAAAATGTTGAAAAAAAGGCAGTCAACAGTCACTGTTTACTGTAAATTTTTTGGCTTTTATAATGGCAAAAAGGCTGCCATTTAACTGTGCATCCTAAAATATAAAATAATTGTCATAGATAAATGGCTATTAACCGATCATTCTTCAATTGCAAAATATACAGCGAAAAAACTGACATTTAAAATGGTTGATTCATTCACCCTTTTATATTGCAATCCTGACTAGTATATGACATATATATATATATATGTATATGTATCATTGAATTTGAAAGAAATCTGCAAATTTTTCTCCTCCCCCATTATACAAGTCAGCGCTGGTTCTGGATCTGGTGCCATTGATGGCACCGTGGATCTAAGGAACCAAAGATGTCAAAAATTTGGAAATCACTATATTTGGGGTACTAATAAAAAAAAATTAATCAAAAAAAACGTTCGTTAATTGACCATTAACAGTCGGTAATCCGTTAAAAACGGCCATTACATGATGCTATTAACTGTCTATTTTCGGACAGTTTTCAGCTTGTAAAAAAGTGTCATTTTAAGGCACTAAAACGTTCCCATTTATAAGGTGTAAAAATGGCCATTTAATGTCTATTTCATTAGCTATTAACTGGCATTTAATTGACAATTAATTACACCGTATTCGACGTCCTGGGTGCTGAGAGTAAATCAAATATTTCTTAATGCATAAACGTAGCTGTTTTCATTCCGGAAAATGGACATTGATCAGACAGTGTACTTGACGCTAGTGTATTTAACACATTTTTTGATAGTCTTCTAGCTGGTGACTGTTGTTCTCCTGTTGCATTTTTATTGTCCGAATTTGTGGTATTTTCCTCTAAGCTATTTTCTTGAGTCTCTTCCTTTTTTGCGTCAGGTAATGCACTTAATTGATACATTGTTTGTTGGAACACCGTCGCTGCAGACGATTCATTCGTCTCTGATAATTCACTCAGTGCTTCAACTTGATTCAAGTAAGCTGGTTTGGCACCAGTCAGCCAATATGTTGTCATCACTTCTTTTCCCTGAACACAAGATTTGAAAATGAAACAAAATGTGACTTTGTTTTTTCAAGGGACGCAAACTTTTAATACGATCAATTTCAGTAAGTAGCAATGGACAAGAAATGACAATCGACTGAACTTGATTATCATAACAAATATTCTATATGGCTTTCTCTATATGCATTTGGTTGATTTTCCTAGCATTTCAACTGGAACACTAGAGAATAGAGTTTTTGAATTCTTATCAATTATTTACCTTCATTTCGGTTCTTCCTCGAAAGGCTAACTCAAAATATTGTGATGATTTCAATAAATCATGAGACGTATCGCTGACGTGTATTTTACCAACCTAGACACAAAGAATAACATGTGATTGTGAGAGAAATAAACTTTTATAATTACGTCGCCAGTCGTGGTTACACGTGATGCTAAAACCAAAAGGAATCAAATCCAACAATTAAAACTGATTAACATGGAATTCGAACCTGTATTCACAGTATCGCCAAACAGACAATATTGAAAGTTTTTATTACCAACAATGCCACCAACAGCCCCACCAGAATGAAGGCCTAAAATTATAAAATATTAAATTTTGAGTGCTAAATAAATTATTTGTATACTGACCAAATTTGACACGAAATGGCGCTTTGGTGATTGGGTTGATAATTTTTCTAGAATGTTTCAGTAAATCTAGCGCCAAACCCGCAATTACTTCGGCTTGATTTAAGTTCAGTGGATTTTTTGCATTAAGAGCGATATCATCAGCAGTCGCTGAGTTTATTGTTGTTGCAACACTCTATAATAAAATGAAACAATTGTATAGGGCAATCGGATCGAGACAAGAATCTAATGGAAAGAACAAATACTAATCTCTGTCTGAAATGGGATACGAACCTACTGACCTATTAGAAAATCGGTTTGGTGTCTTCTCTAATGATTAGATCGGTAAGAATATGTTAAAATCTACCGTCACTAGACGACGAGTTGAAACATTTGAAAACAGTCTTGATAAATAATGACTACCCAAGACAAGTAGCAGAAAATGAAACATGCAATTTATAAGGGAAAAACATGGGAAAAGTTAACCACAGAAATAATCTCCATGCACAAACAAATAGCGAAGCCGGATGATATTGGTTTTCTCCATTTTACAGATGAATTTACATGAAGATGGATCCACCAGCTTTCAAAAAAATTTATAATTTCGTGTCAATTATTTATTTTAGTATGAGAGATTTTAACATATTCTTACCGATCTAATCATTAGAGA